AGCATCCCCCTGGGACCCCATGGCCATTCCTCTGGGCATCCCCCTGGGTCCTCTTGGCACCCCCTGGGACATCCCAGGTACCTCCTGGGTACCCCCAGACATCCCCCTGGGATCCCCTGGGACCTCCCGGGCATCCCCCTTGTTACTCCATGAGCATCCCCTGGTACCTCCTGAGTGTCCCCCCAGGCATTCTCCTGGTTACCCCATGGGCATCCCTCTGGGGACCCCTGGGCACCCCCGGGCACCCCCGGGTACTCCCTGGCATCCCCTTGGGTTCCCCTGGTTACCCCATGGACATCCCCCTGGGGACCCCCTGGGGACCCCCAGACATCCCCCTGGGACCCCATGGGCATCCCTCTGGGGACCCCCAGGACCTCCCGGGCATCCCCCTGGGTACCCCCTGGCACCCCCTTGGGCTCCCCTGGTTACCCCATGGGCATCCCTCTGGGGACTCCCTGGTTACCCCATGGGCATCCCTCTGGTATCCCCTGGGACCTCCTGGGCAACCCTGGGTACGCTCTGGCACCCCCTTGGCCTCTCCTGGTTACCCCACGGGCATCCCCCTGGGGACCCCCAGGACCTCCCGGGCATCCCGTGGGTACCCCCAGGCATTCCCCTGGGACCCCCTGGGCATCCCTCTGGGCATCTCCCTGGGATCCCCTGGGACCTCCCAGGCATCCCCCTCATTACTCCATGAGCATCCCCTGGTACCTTCTGAGTGTCCCCCCTGGGTACCCCCAGGCATCCCCTTTGGCTTCCCCAGTTACCCCATGGGCATCCCCCTGGGGACCCCCGGGACCTCCTGGGCACCCCCTGGGGACCCCCAGGCATTCCCCTGGGACCCCCTGGGCATCCCTCTGGGCATCTCCCTGGGATCCCCTGGGACCTCCCAGGCATCCCCCTCATTACTCCATGAGCATCCCCTGGTACCTTCTGAGTGCCCCTCCTGGGACCCCCCGGGCATCCCCTTGGGTACCCCTTGGGCATCCCCCGGTACCAACCAGGGATCCCCCTGGTAGCTCTTGGGCATTCTCCTGGGACCCCCTGGGTACCCACTGGGCACCCCCTCTGGGTACTTCCTAGTACTGCCCAGTCACCCACTGGTACCCTCTGAGCATCCCCCTGGTACCCCTGGGCACCTCCCTGATACATCCTAGTACCCCCGAGCACCCCCCGGGCATCCCCCTGCTAGCTCCTCGTAACCCCTGGGTACCCCCAGGTACCTCCCGGGCATCCCCCTGGTACCTCTTGGGCATCTCCTGGGCATCCCTCATGTGTTCCTTGAGCATCCCCCTGGGTACTCCCCGGGTAACCCCTGGGTATCTCCCTGGCAGCCCCCATTACCCTCCTGGTACCCCTGAGCACTCCCTGGTTACCCTCCAGGCATCCCCCAGTACCCCTGGGCATCCCCCTGATACCCCATAGCACCCCTGAGCACCCCCTGGTTACCCCCAGGCATCCTCCTGGTACCCCCTGAGCATCCTCGGGTTCTTCCCCAGGCATCCCCCTGGGTATCCTGCTCGTTATCTCCCAGGTATCCCCCTGGTTTTCCTCCAGGCATTCCCCTGGTACCCACGGGCATCCCCCTGGTTATCCCCCGGCATCCCCTGGGTGCCCACTGGTATAACCCAGGCATCCCTCTGGTTATCCCTTAGGCATCCTCCTGGTACCCCCTGGGTACCCCCCAGTACCCCCTGGCATCCCCCTGGTTATCCCCCTGGCATCCCCTGGGTGCCCACTGGTATAACCCAGGCATCCCTCTGGTTATCCCTTAGGCATCCTCCTGGTACCCCCTGGGTACCCCCTGGTGCCCCCAGGAATCCCCCTGGTACCCGCTGGTATAACCCGGGCATCCCCCCAGTACCCCTGGGTATCCCCCTGGTTTTTCCCTGGGCATCCCCCCAGTACCCAATGGTATAACCCGAGCATCCCCCTGGTACCCCTGGGCATCCCCCAGTTATCCCCTAGGCATCCTCCTGGTACCCCCTGGGTACCCCCTGGTACTTGCGGCCATCCCTCTGGTTATCCCCTAGGCCTCCCCCTGGTTACCCCCCAGCCATCCTCCCTAGGCATTCCCCCGGTACCCGCTGGTATAACCCGGGCATCCCTCTGGTACCCCCAGGCATACCCTGGTACCCCCTGGGTACCCCCGGGTACTCCCGGACATCCCCCTGGTTATCCCCTAGGCATCTACCGGGGACCCGCTGGTATAACCTGGGCATCCCCCTGGTGCGCCTGGGTATCCCGCTCATTATCCCCCAGGCATCCCCCTGGTTTTCCTCCTGGCATCCCCCTGTTTTTTCCCCAGGCATCCCTCCAATACTCCCAGGCATCGCCCTGGTTACCCCCAGGCATCCTCCTGGTACCCCCTGGGTACCCCCCAGTACCCCCAGGCATCCCCCTGC